GGGGGGGGGGGGGGGTTGGGAAGGGCTGGAACAAGATGACCTTGTAAAGTCCCTCCCTGCTCTACTTTATGATCCTATGTATGACCTTACCATAATTTGTGTAGACATTCCACAGCCCTTTTTTAGGGGAGGAAAAAACCCTAACATTTTTTTTCTTTTTTTCTTTTTTTGAATAGCCATCTTTTGGTTATCAAATTACATCTCCAGAGAAAAAGCAGCCTGTTGCTTTGTTAAGGGAATCTGATGCATCGAGTGGTAACTTACATGAAGAAAGATCACAACTTTCTGATGTATTTCCAGGTATTCTAAAACAATTGTACTGTAAGGTTTGTCTGATGGATTGATAGCTATGTATTAGTATTCTTAGTTATTATTAAACTGGTAAAGATTTTACTATGAATAGAATCTCCAAGATGAAAAGCACTTGGTCGCCTTTCACCATTAGTTCTTTTCTCCAGAAAGGTTTAAAAAAACAAACCTTTTTCTTTAAAAGGACAGAATAGGGTCCTGATGCCTGAAATAACTATCAAGTGTTCTTGTTTCAGATTATCCTTTTTTGAGGACACTGGAAAAACTGGTTTTTTTTCCCCCCAGGTATTGCAGAACATTCTGGGGCACTTATTGCCTAGACTTTTTTTAAATCTCATATTTATATAGCTACCTATAGTTACATTTTTCTAATCTTGTACAGGAAAACTAGATTAAATCCCTACTTTGAGGAACAGAGGGAAAGTTTTGTTTTATTTATTTGAGGTGTGGGTTGAAAAAGTTGTAAGCCTTTTGTATGAGACAAGAAGGAACTGATGCTGGAAAAGTCTCTGTCTGTCTGTTTCTCTTCATCACAGTTTGGACATCTTCCCTTTCCTTTCCCCAAGGGGAAAAAAAAATCTCTGGTTCCACTATATGTAATTAAACTGTTGTGTTGTTTGTGGAGGAAGGTCAATAGTCTCTGAATCATTCCTTGTTGAAGAACTGCTTTTGCTCAGGGGAGGGAAGGGCCTCTAGAATCCTAGGGAATTTTAATATCTTCTTATTCTTAGTATATAGCGCTCAACTTCTTCCTAATTCCCTAGTATGGGAAGAGAAATATCGAGAGAGAATTAGACAAAGATTAGGCAAAAATGCCTGATCATTCAAGAATGTACATTTTTGGAGACAGATTATAAGACTGAGCAATGCAAGAAGCAGTGCATTCTTACCAGGCTGTCTTCTGAGAAAACTGTCAGTCACGTTGATTCATTGAAATCCGTTCTGGAAGTGGAACAAAGCTAAGGGTGTATGTTTCGTAGTAAAATTATGGTAGACTTCTTTGCTTTATTAACAGAATTCATTTCTGAAAAAAAACTTCACCAACAACCCATGAAGTACTAACACATCTAGATATAAACAGACTTTGGTGGTATGACAAGATATAATTTACCTCCAAAAAACCTCCTGACCTGAAAGATCAAGAACGTATTTTAAAGCATCTTTTGTAATGAGATTCAGCTTTCTGAAAACAATGTTGGCTTCATGAGCTCTGGTTGTGAAGGGCCTTTTTGTTCTTTTTAGTTTCTTTAACAGCATTGGCTCTAGCATCAGTGAAAAATTCCACTCATCAAACTTTCTTGAGCATGCATTCCTTACATGGCTTGAAAGAATAGCTTGCCTGTGGTAACACATCTTTGGCCAGTAACAGAATCAGCAGGTTATGGCTTTAGTTGTCATCTTGGATGGTATATAATTACTCTAAAACAAATTCTCTCCACTCCCTCAGTTCTCCCCAAACAGCATTCCTCCTACATACCTATCAAAATCGCAAGTTGAGGTGATGTAGACAAAATAAAGGCAACTTTGACATCTTGTCTTCATTAGCGCCATTAATAGTAGAGCTGTTCTTGCAGCAGCATTATGGTATTTAGTGGGTGTGAGAAGTGAGGGGTGACATAGTATAAAGTTATGACTTAGAAGGGATGTCGATAACAAACCATTAATTTGTCAAAAGCTCTTTCATAGTATTGAATTCACATATTCCTGTTGGTCTAAACTAGAATCTAAAGGTTCTGAAAGCTTTGACTGATTTACGTATTTCAGTAGAGAATCAAATGTGCATTGTAATGAGATAAGCTTTGCAGCAATGAGGTCTGATTTCCGACCTTGCATTCTATTATGTATCATTCATGTCAGGTCATCTGTAGAATACTTACAAGCAAAGCCTCCATCTATCCAAGTAACTATGATTCCATTAGCTCTTTTCAAGGCTGAATATTATGAGCAGTCTGATAATGAATGAAAGACAGAGTGAAAGTGTATTAAAATATCAACCACTTCTCATTAAAATAAACTAAAAAAAGTGTAAAAGTGTGGTACTACTAACATGATTTTGCTCTAGTCAGCCATGTTTTGTTCTGTAGCTCAGTTAAGATCTTTGTGATATAGCCTGCGATTTTTTTTGTAGTGGGGAAACTTCAGATTTAAACTTATTTTTGATGTGTATATGATGCACAAAATACAGAATAAAGGAATCCGGATATTGGTTGTTTAGGCTGCACTTCTGTTAAGACTCCATTTTTTTTTTATGCCTGATTTAAAACTACCAAGTCAGTCGTCCTTAATCACAACACACTGTCTTATATGATTTGTGATATTTTGCAATTGGAAGCCTTTGTGCTTTTAAAATTCCCTTCTTTGTCCATACCTACATTTCTTTTAGTATTACCCATGTTTGAGAAATTTGCCCTGGTAGATCTCCAGAACGTATTGAAAACAGTCATTTTGAGCATATTTGCCTGTCTCTTGTAAATCCTAATATTTAGGCAAGAACTTAATGAAAAGTTATGTTACTTTCAACAGTTAATTTAACTTGCCAAGAGAGGTTGCAAAAAAAGTAATTTTTAGTGGCTGATATTGGGAAAGAAATAGTTCCATTTTATGAAACTTTCCAGTTCTGTGCAAGTTCATCCACAAATATCTTGAAGCTTTAATAGTTGGAATTATCAGGGGTATAAGATATCCCTGATTCATCTCATAAGGGAAATCATATATTGTACAAAAACTCTAGATATGGTGCATGTGAGGTTATTTTTGGGGCAGGGTGGGTAAAAATCAACAATTCTTAAATAAAAAAAAATCAGATTTTTAAAATTTAAATGAGATACTTTTAATTGTATTTTAATAATTTTTTTATTTTTGAGATGCTTTTTAAGAAAAATAAGCTTATATAAAAGATAGTTTTAATTTAATATATGTTAAAGCTTGAAGATATCATCATGGAATAGGGATCATAACTTCTAGTTATATGTTATTTGAGACGGTATATTCATGTAACCTTTTTAGAAGTTTTATAAATGGGTCACAATAGGCCATGGACTACCTTACGGGTTTCCAGAGGCTCCTCTGTAGATTAGTAAAGATTAAATAAAACCAGTCTACCCAATGGGACTCAGTGCTCAGTCTAGGATCCCATTAAGCATCTCTGTGATGCTTAGTTTCAGTTCTCAGACTGTGGATTTGTCTCCAGAGATAACGTCCTTGTTAATAGCAGCGCATGAAGATGAGAGATAACAGACCTGATTAGCAACCCATCAGCCCTCTTGTTTGTTTGAATGTTTGTGTACATTTCCTTCTAAAAGTGCAAGGTTTCAGTAAATTAAATGAATAGAGGATATCAAACAGCAAGAATGCACTTTTTGTAGAATACAGTGATTAAATTGAGGCTTCTTGGCCAGTGATTTTAAATCATGATTTAAATCAAATCCACCCTTATTTTGGGCCTTGCAGTTTTCATCCCTTGCTCTTGAAAAGAGTAGGACTTCTGAATTCTTACCCTGGTAATAAGGAGAAAAGTTTAAAGTAGTGTCCATTTGATTGTGTTCATCACATGTACTGGAGTTGAAAGGAGGCTTTGAAGTCTCTGTCTTGGAGCCCTTTTGGTAGGTAACGGTATGTTTAAACTTTGACCAGACTATTCTTCTATTGTTGCAAAAAAAAAAAAAAAAGTTGGAAGAGACCTTTAATATACTCACTCATTTTTAATAGGTGAACAAAGTGTTGCCACTTCTGTTCCATTGAAATCAGTATCTAATTTCTTGAAAAATCCTTGTGCTTGCATTTTAATTTTGACCCAAGGCAAAAGAAAGACCCTGCATAATCTCCTTCAAACTGTTTCTAGGTTAGGGGGATCTCAGGGAGCTTTAACAGGACAACAGTCATGATTAAATTAACAAATTGCAGTTTTGTTCTAGCTCCTTGTCCTGGTATCAGAACCTTTAGTTCTAAAGTGACTTTGATCTCACCACACTATAAATCCTTTATCCATATATCCAAGCACTGTAATGTCATTATTGGGGGATTTGAGTTAAGACAGAGTCTTTGTAAGATGCTCAAGAGGATGGGAGGTTTAAGAGTTAAAACTTGCTCAAATAATTAAAGATATTAATATTAACACTGAAGGAGAATTGGATGCTTTCAATATTAAAACTGTTTTAACACAAGATTTTATTGTAGTTGTTCCCTTGAATCACCTAGTTATTTTAGTCTGGAATTTACTATTGTATTGATTTTGATGTAATACGTGGTCCCAAAGAAGCTTTTTTTTTTTTTTTTTTTT